AAAACAAACACCTTCAGGAACTTGATAAAACTAAATTCACAATTTTGAACTGCTCTATGGTAAGCATTTCATCAGCGATTTTCCCAGCTTCAGAACGTCAAAATCAAGAAGTGGAGAGGTGATTAGAGTAACCACTTGCAAGAACACTACGTAATAACGGGAGCCACAAATAAAAATGGTGCTGTAAACAATACATTCCAAGTTTGTGTATGACTTCACTCTCCCTCGTGTCTCCAGGCGAGGCAGCCAAGCGGAGTCGCATGTTTGTTACACTCCCACTTTTCGTAAATGCACGATAAGATTTCACGTTTTTCTACTTTGAAATTCGATTACGCACTGACTGGACGGGGATATCGCACTACACTTTACCATTTGGAACAGTTTTTAACTATTGTTTGGTCACTCCTTGTACCGCGCGATGTCGAGCACATGTGTTCCAACACCTAATATAAACACCGGTATTTTTCGGCGATATCTCCTTTAAATCCGGATAAATACACTTGAACAAGATTATAACCAACACTATACAACTTCCTCTGCGTGATTCCACATTGGAAACGGACCAAATAGCTCGTTTTACTGTCGAAACCGAGGAAATTCACGAGCTTACCTCAGGCATCTCTCGATATTTGCTGGAAAAAGGAAGTCCACGCAGCCCGTGAGGGACTACTACAACGCCGATCGGACGAAATCCACACGAAGAATTTTTCAGCTCTCTTGGGGCTGGTTTATTTTTTGTTTTTTATTTTATTATGTGTCGTATAGATGTATTATATGTTATGTAGTGTTTTCTATATTAAGAGACTGTATTTGATTCATATGTATTTTTGACGATATCGATAAATTGTGAGTCATCAAACCTATATTCTCTCGGTTGCCAACGTCGAATTAATGGTTGTTTCATGAGGTACATAATTGATTGTTTTGCTCTATGTATGTTATATTTCGTAGAATACAATTTTTATTAGTTTGAACAAAGTGGAAAATCATACATCGGATAACCAAATCGACGAAAACGAACCCCCCAGAAGAGAAAAAGAGTTGCCAATTAATGATTTAATTCCAAATCCGAACAAACCCCCACATTCACCTATGATTAAAAATGATAAAAATGCATCTGCAACCGGTCACCCACCAGCCTTCCGATGCAAGAACCCAATGAAATGAACCGCAGCGTTTAAAAGGACCCGAAATACCCTTAGAAAGCCGAGTATTGACAATTCTGGTCGAGTGAAGGATTGAGAGTGCGCAGACGTCACAGAGATAGACTTGCCATTGTTGTTTGGGTTTCCTTTAATTATCTCATTTTTTAAGGGAAATGTAAGTATATCTGGAAATTTTCTTGTCTGGGCTTGTGTGAGAAATGTCGAAGGAGACGTTGGTGGTAGATAGAAAGCGCCAGGAAAGTAGACTGGGGTAGAAAAAGGTCGGAAATTGAGGGAGAGGAGAGTCGGGGTGTCTGGAGATCCATCGATCGAAGAACACGAAGAGGAGAGAAGTTGTCATTTTCTTCCTCATTTTCGTCTCTCTCTCGCTCTCTCGCTCGACCACGAACATGTAAGCGACACCGAACTCTTCTCACATCAGGGTGTATCTAGTGCTCGGATATTTGGTGGTGAAAAGGGTGTATTTAGGGCGTAACGAGTGCGATATAAGGGCAGGAGGGGGCGTCTGTTCCTTGGTCGTGAGGGTGGGGTTTCATTTGGGATTCTTTTGGGGTTGTCTGTGCCAGCTTGCATGGGGTTGGGCTCGGCTTTCCCCCCAGGAAAGTTATTTGCCAGTCTTTGAAATAGTGTGTTCTGCTTTTTTTCTACTTTGGGGGAATATTGTTCACTATGGGGTATGGCAGTAATGTATGCCTGGGACTTGTGTTTGTGGATTTCGTAATTCCTTTTCAAGTTTCAGGTTGCGACAATAGTGCTTTTAGTTATTTTGAGATTTATTAAATTTTTTTGTCTGTGTCGCACGGTGGTATTCAAGGTGTGAATACCCAGATCGGGTACGACTGATGTGAAGATTAATTTAATGTTATTTTGTATGGCCCCTACAGTAGTGCCGTCAAGTTGTTTCCAGTGGTTCAAACTGCAAATTTTTTTCTCGAGGAAAGTTCAGATAAAATTTGGATTAGATATTTTCGTGCAGAATTTTACTGTAATTGAAAAGGAAAATGTATTATTTATATATATATATTATAATTTTTACAATTCAGTCCATTTTATATATATATATGTAATGTATATTTATATACATATATACAGGGTAACAGGCCAGGGGGGCGAGGTCTGTCATGCAGATTAAAGTTCATTGGTTAATCTTGTGCTTTCTGCTGTATTGCATAGGGATTACTCAAATTGGTGATGAAGAAATATAAAAAGAGGACACTATCGACATACTCACATATCACCTGTGAGGTTATCAAGATCTTAAAAAGCTGAAATATTGAACTAGGTAGTATTGATTTCTTGTGAGAGAGGAATTTCTTCTCTTGATATTATTGTTTTGATTTTGTTATTTTCCAAATTTATAATTATATTTATTATTGTATTCACTAAAAGTTTTTTAATTTAGTAGATGATATCCCAAGGGAAAAGTATAATATGTGTAATATATATATATATATATATATATATATATATATATATAATATATATATATATATATATCATATATATACACATATACATATACATTACATATACATATATTTATATACAATATATATACATATAATATATATATATATATATATATAATATATATTTATAATATATATATACATATATATACATATATATATATATACATTAATATAATATATATAAATATACATATAATATATATATATTACATATATATACATATTATATATATATATACATATAAATATATATATTATATATATATATATTATATATACATATATATATTATATATATATATATATATTATTATATATATAATTATGATTATAATATATATATATATATTATATATATATAATATATATATACATGTATTATATACATGTATTATATATTATACTATGTACATATATATACATTACATATATTATACATGTATACATATATATACATATATATATATATAT